TAGTTAAGTAGTTGTCAAGAAATTGTAATTTAAAAATTAAAAAAAATTCACTAAAAATGATTTGTCCCATTTCTACTAACTCCCCCCATATTATGTAAGAATGAAAGTCTGTTTTCATAATAAAGTAAACAAGATTGCTGAAGGAAAAAAAAATACTAATACTAAAAAGAAAAAAAGTAAAAGAACAAGAATAAAAAAATCTGATAATCACAATTATAAGCTTGTATTAGATTACAAAAATTACATATTATAAAATAAAAAAACTCTGTATCTAACTCTATTCTAATAATATATCTAATCTATATAAAAAAACAAAAATAGCAGATTTAACTAAACTAGACCAAACTAGACTAAGTAGTTAAAAGGTATCATTAGTCTCAAAGTATTGTTTAAATAATTTCTTTTGGTTGAGATATATTGTCTAATTGTGTTGTCTTTTAAGCTTAATCTAGACATCTATCAATTTTATGTTTACTAAAAGTAAATAATCTATTTTGAGAAATAATCAACCCATTTTGGAAGATAAATAATATCGACTGTTTTGAAAAATCACATATCAATCTTTTGAAGAAAATAAGCTGAAACACCTACTTATTGACAAAATTTCTTCAAAAAAGTGATAGGTTAACAAAACTTTGTAGATTCTTCTTTATAAGTTTTATAGTTGTATAAAGACTATTTTTAATTTTTTTAATATGCTTAATGTCAACCTAATCGTTCTGTATTTTCAGAATATCTTTCTGATTTGAATGCTGAATATAATTAAGAAGCCTGCTAGAAAAAAACTTGATCTCTACAAAACTGTTCAAAGTATCTTAATTTTATACTCTTGATACTTCGTCAACAACACATCTACTTGTATAGAACAAGTATATTATCATCTCTTGATATTTTCTATAACATTTTTTTATAATTTTAGTTTTTGAAGTTGTTAACCAGGAGGATCTTCTTTAATATGGATTGGCATATATAAATTATTACAAAATTATAATATATAAAATCAAATTAATTGGAACCAATTTAAATTCTAATCTTAACTCTGATCCTAATAATTTATAAAATTATTTAAATAGTTCAAAATAGTTAGGTTATATATTTTAATTGTATAATAATTATATATGTTTACTTATACTAAAGATCAATTGACCAAAAAATTGTCGAGAAGAATTGTTAACAACATAATTATTAATTATAAATATATTATAATTTCTCTATTTTTAAATATATCAAAAAAAAATTTATTTGCATAATATATTTTATATATAATAGATTTGATTTTAAATATAAATAATTTTGTATCTACTGATCTATTTTGAATATTTATTATCAAAATTATTAGTTTAATGTGATGATTCTAACAAGTCAACATTTATTAAAATTCAATTACAGAATTATAAAATTATATATATTGTATATAAACATAAATTTATATTATTATTATATAAAACATAACACAATTTGTAATTTTGTAATTCTGTAATTAAATTTTTGATAGTTTTGGGTTGTTAGAATTACCTTATTGGGCTAATTATATTGGTAATTAAATTATCCAAATGAATTAGTAAATTAATAATTAAAAATAGATTGGTATTAAAATTTTAACAATTTTAATTTGTTGTCTAATATATCACATAACTTGATATTACTGTCTACTGTTTATATGCATAAAAAAGTTTCTGACAGATAGTATACAATTAGACAATAAATATCAACTGTATAAAATACCTATATAAACATAAAAAAAAAAGACTTATACTTAGTCTCAAAAATGGTCTAATTATATTAATACCTAATGATAAATCAATTAATATATTCCATTGAGGTCAATCCATTAATTTCACTACCTCTTGCAAATCTCATTATAACAGTCAATTGATCACCGAGATGATGACCTAAAAATAGTGAAGATATTTTTCTTTCATGGCGCAACCACGAGCCAATAATTTATATATTTCAATACGAGCGACAGTCTCTTTTTGAGAAATAGTAGGAAAGTGCTTTCTGCAGAAGTTTCCCAATTAGTTGGCATAATTTTTGTATCAATATCTAATAAATTAAATATTGAATCTAGAAGTTTCGAAAAAAAGCTCATAGAATCAATTTTTTTTTACCAACCAAATTTAGATAATATATTAGCAACCTTATAAGATTCTTTAGTACTCTCGGGACCAATGATAAAAGTAGTTAATTTATGATTAAATTCTTTGCTAAACCTATTCAAAAAATAACAAAGGGCCATACTATCAACACCACCAGACACTGCCACGCCTATTTTATATAAAATGATTTTAAAAAGATTTATACTTTTGAACTATATATCTCGAAGATTAAGGCTACGAAAATCTTTCGTACCAAGTGGTTCTCCTTTCTTGAGATGAATTTTACTCATTAAGGATATAAATTCTTTGAATGTTATTGGATTTCTCGATGCCGTTTTTTGAATTTAGCATTGAAAAACAGTTTAATTTTGAAATTGCACAGGAAAATCGATGTGTACCCAAGGCACTATTTAGATTCCATAGAATGGCTGAACGATGATATATTTGCTTATGTTTTTATTCTTAACTTTTTTAAACATACAGCAAATGCTTTTCTTGTCATTAGTTACACACGTTGAGAATATGTCGATATTGGTACGTACGTTTAGATTTAATTTAAGATAAAAAAAAAAAAAAAAGACTCAGGAAATTCATCAATCGCAATGCATTTTTTTTTTCGGTGTTACTCAAATTATCCTGTATATACCTGTTTAGATCGTAATAACCTATTACTGTATTAAACTGCACCGCTTGTCTGCCAAGCGCTCAGTATTAAATTCACAATCTCTGGAATGCCAACACCATTTTTTATTTGAGCAAAAATCGTCGGACCACTTTCTCTATAGTTTCGATTAAAAATTATATCATTGCTACTATGTCAAAACATTAAAAAAAATTAATAGGTGAAAACTTACCTCATTTTACGTGCATCCCTTTCCATAACACCTAAGTCGGCACCGACAATTTCTGCAAGATCCGTTTTGTTAATAATTAAAAGATCGGATTGTGTAATACCAGGTCCACCTTTACGAGGAATTTTATCGCCTCAATAACTTAAAAAATAGACGTACAACTTTTATAAATTAAAACATTACACTAATTATCATAAAGTAGCATTGAAATAAAATTACCATAGATAATGAAGTCTGCTAATTCACAAGAATAATTTGTATGGAACTTATATATGTCAATGAAAAGTAAATTATACGAAAATGAATAATTCCGAATTCAATTCTTTCTTACCAGCCAAATTATCACCACCACTTTCCACTAATAATATTTGAGCATAGAATTTTGCATGAAGTTCTTCTAAAGCATTCATGTTAGCAGAAATATCTTCTCTTATTGCAGCATGAGGACAACCACCAGTTTAAATGGCACGAATTCGTTCCATTGGTAATGCATTATTACGAACAAGGAATTCTGTATCTTCACGAGTAAATATATCATTCGTAACTGCCGCAATAGAGTAATTATCTCGAAGAGCTCGACACAAGGCAAGCATTAACGCAGTTTTTCCAGAACCGAAAATCATAAATGAAATTTAATTTTATTAATTCAATTTTTATATATATATTCTTGAATTTAATTAACATTAAATAGATATTAACCCTCCAATTCCTACAGTGAAAGCTCTTTCTTTCCAGTTACGATTAGAAAACTTCGGCATTTCTCTTTCGGTGAATTTACCAGGATGATCCAATTGTTCATGAGTATGCCCATGGTCACCATGCGAATGAGAATGTCCATGTTCATGAGTATGTGTAGTTTTCTGCTGCGGACATATGGTCCTCGAAATGGCACACTTCTTTTGGAGATGACATTTTTAAATTGTGAGTAAATTGGGTGGTAATTTGATGAAAAATACGACAATACTTGGTGAGTCTTATGCTTATTTTGGTGTAAGAATGAATAATTAATACGTTTAACTAGTCAATATTTTTTTTTCTAGTACTCACGGATGCTGGATATCGATATATTTACCGTAAAACGCCATGCAAGGTAGCCGGGTATCTTATATCTTGCATGACTTATACGTCCCTGTATTTGCTCACCAGAAAAAAAATTGTAATTTTTTACCAAGAATAAAATTGCGCTGTAGTTTGGGTTAAGGTTAAAATAATTTCATGCCTAATAGTAAATTTAACGAAGAGCATTTTTGATTAGGCCGCAGATGGTGGTCTCTTAATTAAAATTTTGTGTTATTTATAAAAAAGTGGTTTCGCTTCGATTGTTTACGTCACTCTGATCTTGAAAGTTGATTGGTCAAAAATCATGGAGGTGAACAATTTTTGTGGGAAAGCTAGGGGCGCGAGATCGAAAATGAGATCATTGTGCATGGATCTGTAAGCGTAATATGATATCATGCTTAATCATGTGAAGGCTGGTATATATGGGAAACCCTTTGCATTAAGAAGATTTCACCCTTGGTTTTGCTATCGCTGGCCTTATGAAATTAGGCTGGCTTCATTTTTTAGAAAAGGTACTATCTGAATTAGCAATAATCATACGATATAGAGCCTGCTTAGTATAATCATGGTTTAGTGTAGTGACCACCGATCAACAGTTAATAGATATAGGCACCACGGTTGCGTTGTAGTGCAAGGAATTTAATTGCAGCTCAATGACTGTACAAATTAGAGTTTGCTTAGCAAGATCGTAGCTCAGTGATTGGAAACAGTGCAATGACCACTCGATTAATGACTTAAGTATACTGATAGTATTGGTAGTTGTTAGGCGCATAGCAAGTAGGCCTCCGCATGGGCCAGATAGAGCTGAGTAATGGCAATACCCTAACCCTACCTGTTTGTGTAAGGTCTTGATTACCCTTGCCCTGGGCTCAAAAATTGATGCTTTAGCCCGGCCTAAAAAATCTGCAGGTACCCATGGGTTTATTATTTGTAATAGGAAAATCATTCTAATTATTAGAATAACTAAAGTAGAAGCTTAAATTCATAGTCTGTCAACTGGCTGGTGCTTATTTAATTTGTATAGGTTTAGCAAAGAATTTAATCATAAATTAACTGCTTTTATCATTGATCATAAATTTCGTCCCGAGAGTACTGAAGAATCTTATAAGGTTGCTAATATATTATCTAAATTTGGTTGGTAAAAAAAATTGATTCTATGAGCTTTTTTCGAAACTACTAGATTCAATTATTTAATTTATTAGATATTGATACAAAAATTATGCCAATTAATTGGGAAACTTCTGAAGAAAGCACCTTTCCTACAATTTCTCAAAAAGAGACTTTCGCTCGTATTGAAAGATATAAATTATTGGCTCGTGGTTGCCATGAAAGAAAAATAGCTTCACTATTTTTAGGTCATCATCTCGGTGATCAATTAGAGAATGTTATAATGAGATTTGCAAGGGGTAGTGGAATTAATGGATTGACCTCAATGGAATATACTAATCGATTTCCGATAGTAAGAAATATTGAATCATTAGGTATTAATATAATTAGACCATTTTTGAGACTGACTAAGGTATAAGTTTATATATATATATATTTATCTAGATATTTTATACAGTTGATACTGTCTAATTGCATACTATCTGCCAGAAACTTTTTTATGCATATAAAACAGTAGACAGTAATGCTCCTAGGTCCGGTCTGGGTCCGGTCCGGGTCCGGTTCGGTCCGGGATCAATCCAAATTCAAACTCTATAATAAGTTCGGTCCGGGTTCGGTCCGAATAGTTTGAGTACGGTTGTAATTATATGTATTTTTGGGCTGAACAATTTTACTTTAGTGCATGAAGTTAGAATTAAGTAATAAAATTTTGAGAATTTAAGATTTTATAGACTTTTATTAATAAAATTCTACAAAATCTTAAAATTCTCAAAATTTTATTAATTAATTCTAACTTAATGCACTAATAAAATTTGTTTAACACCCAAAAATACATTGATC